ACTGCAACGTTCGTGTCAGGGAGTGAGGAAACTGCGGCGCTCGTGAAATGGAGCGAGGGCACTGCAGCTCTCCTGTCAGGAAGCGAGAGGACAGTGGCGCTCACGTCAGGGGCGAGGGGACTGCGGCTCTCGTATCAGGGAGTGAGGAAACTGCGGCGCTCTTGAAAGGGAGCGAGAGAACTGCGGCTCTCGTGTCAGCGAGCGAGGGGACAGTGGCGCTCGTGTCAGAGAGCGAGGGGACAGTAGCGCTCGCGTCAGGGGCGAGGGGACTGCGGCTCTCGCGTCAGGGAGCGAGGGGACTGCGGCTCTCGTGTCAGAGAGCGAGGGGACTGCGGCTCTCGTGTCAGGCAGCGAGGGGACTGCGGCTCTCGTGTCAGAGAGCGAGGGGACTGCGGCGCTCGAGCACACTCCCGCACAGAGGCTTTTTCATGAATGCCAAAGAAGGTTCAACGTTCAGAAAGGGATCTCTGCACTCACTTCTCGTCGAACACCATCTCGGTCTTGGGCTTGGCCGGCTGCGGCGCTGGCTTAGGCTTCTCGGTCGGCTTGGCGCGCGCCGCCAACGCGCGGTTGGGCACGAACACGGGCTGCGCGCCCACGAACACGTCGGCGAACTGCAGGCTGTCCAGGCCGAGCCCCCGCGCGGCCGGCGCGCGCACCACCAGGAAGCCTCCGTCGTCTACGCGCGACGAGTGCTTGAGCAGCACACGCAGCCGCTCCTTGGAGAAGGTGGCCTTGTCGCGACGCAGCGCGTCGGCATGCACCATCAGCTGGCGGCCGGTGGGCGCGTGGTGCACCTGGTACAGCACGCGGTCGGCCGGCACGCCCTCTGAGCGGAGACGGCTCGATGGACGCTGGCTGTCACCGGCGCCCCTAGCGGAGGCGGAAGGAAGCTTAGCGAGGAAAACAAATATAAATGGGGGCAACGGCCACTGCTGGGCTGCGCTGAATGGGTAGTGCTACGCGGTGGCTGGCTTTAGGAGTGCCGGGAGCAGGAAGCTGAAGGAAGGCAGACACTGATAAAGCCTTATGAAGTGGCGAACAGGATGTTTACTCTCTCCAATAAAGCAAAAAATGACCAATTAGTTTGGCGTTCTTTCTTTCGAAGACGGAGAAACTGACGTCGACGTAAGTTGCCAGCATCTCCTGCCAAACCACATCACAGGACATCCACAGCAATTACCAGCGCACATCAGCAACGCCTGGAAATTGTAATACCGGGCGCCATATCAGCCACCCAGCGCAGCAGATGCACCACTTACTGGTCTGAGTGGCCATTCACTGCTGGTGTTGCCTCTGGATCACCAGAGACACACATGCTCTGAATTGTGCAGTCAATCCTGTAATGGTCCGAGCTTATTACAGCAGATGCCTTTGACTTCTGAGGAAGACAAATGTATTATAAAGTTTACTTTCAACAGTGCATGAAATGCAAAATTTGGTACAGCAGACATAAAACCATGATGTTCATTATATGAACAGTTTGACATTCATGTTCCACAACCTAAATCAATTAAAGGAATGTTACAGGAGACCTAACCACAAACCAAGAACACAACATTACCACCAGCAGCTGAACATACGATTGACACAAAACTGACTGGGGCAGCCTAAAACTTACCACTGACTTCCCCTCTTGACTTGAACCATTTCCCCTTTGAAGTAGCGGTCTTTAATGTACGTATATATGTCTACACACAATTCATTGAAACTTGTTTTTCTTGTCATTGAGCAGAGCAGAAGCAAAGCACGCTTCAGCTGCAAAAATAAGGTAATTGTTAAAACAGACCATCCATCAGCTCCAAATACGCAACATGGGCGAGACCATTGTTGTGCAGCGACAGGGTTGTTTCGGCGAAATGTTCTCAATATGATGTAGATCCACACATTCACCTTCGATGCCGCCAGACATTGACATAGGCCGTAAACAGCACAGAGCTGCAGCATGGCACTGACACATTTACCACATAGCTTTGACAATATTCCAGCTTCATGATCACCAGCTGTGTTTGTTTTTATCATAAGTCTCATGAGTTTGCACTCAATCACTCCTGCACACCTGGAACTGCTTACTGAGCTTGGAAAGATGTGAGCAGTACCTGTGAAGAAACCCCCCAAAATTTTGTCCCAGGGGATCACCACAGTAATTGGAAACATACTGAAATGTCAACCAGAACTTTTTGGTATCCAGCCAAACCCACAGAGCTACATGTCAGCCACTGTCTTACCTCCTTTTGTACACTGTTGAGGGAGCGTTTGGCAGCACGCTCAGACTCGGCTGCTTCCTGGTAGGTGAGACCTGACTTGCCAGTCATCTCACAGGACCACAGCAGTGAATTACACAGGATCATCCTCTCAAAAAACTTGCTGCAATGCACACAACACCATCATGTCAGGGTGATGTTGGCAGCAGCCAATCAATGCTAGTTTGAAGCTTAGCATTCAAATACACTGAAGATGTGTACTATCTTAATTACACCAAAATGTGCACCACCATCTGACTCAATAATGAGATATGGGCCTGGTTCCTGGCAGCAGAACCAGGAAAACCCAAGAACTGCCTTGATGTCAAACTGGGGATCAAGCAAGGCCAATGATCCAGCATTGGCAATGGGCTGATATTCCAACAAGAATCAAGGTGCAATTTTGTCAAGGGAACCTGCAGGAACAAGGATTGTACCTTGGCTTTAAGTCATGAACCAGCACACATCCACAGGATGCATTTGTGGATACCATCTTATGCACTTACCACCCCTCATCAAATAAAGGTCTTGTTTGGTATTTGTGGGACATTTTGAGCTGGGGATCATACCTTGCTGCCTCAGGACCCTTTGATGATATCAAAATGCATGATGACCATCATAAACTAACCCAACACAGCCAGGGAATTAAATCCCAGGGGCCCACCACCTCCATATGGGGATGACCCAAAATTGGCCCCACTAGATCATCTAGCCCAAATTGAATATGCACATCAGGATGACATACAGTTTTCAACAGAGTTGAAACCATCTTTCAGAACATTTGATGTCTGAAACTTACTCATAGTCCCTGAAGATTTCTTTGGTAGGCTCACAGAAGAAAACTTCTTCATCAGGTTCCAAATCTGGTGGAAGTTTGCTCTTAGCAAATGGTTGCTTGTTTAATAGAGGCATCTTCACCTGTAATGAATTCAGATGCATTAAATGACTATACAAGGAAATGTAAACAATCACAGATAATCAGACACACATCACCAAAACACCTCAATAATGCTGGTAAGTAAAACCCTTACATAATTCATCAGTGTGAGATGCAAGCAGGGCGCTGAACTTCTGCTAAATATTTGGATATTCATATATTTGAGATTGAGCTGCATCCATGCTAAGACTTGCATTTTATACAAAAAGGTAGATTGTGAATTGATTCAAAAAGTAACTTTATATACAATTAGCAAGCAATGAGCCACATATACCCAGTTGCCATTCTCCAGATGGATATAATTCCAAGATAACATGCTAATTTCCAAACCCAATACTGATGGCCATGTACATACATATAGGAATTTAGTCATTGGGGTCACAATATGATACAGCATTTAAACATATAAACTTAAATCAATTGCAACTTAGATTCTCTGGGAAAATTCATAGAAGTTAATTCTATGAACTCTTCTTAACATAGAAAAAACCTAAACCAGCCTGAAATATTGCCAAGCATAATCAATACCCTACCTTGGCAAAAATCAGTGTTACATTGTTGTTCTGACCTCCTAGGTTGCAGAGCACAATATTCCCAACCTAACATTATAAGAAATAGGCACATAGGATTGCTAACAACATGCTACAGCTCACTTCAAAATGTATGTTCAGTTTTAAGGCAACAGAGTGTGGAAGCAACTGATATATACTTGGAAAATAAAGCACAAAACCATCTGTAAGCCATTATGAAGAAGAGTTTGTGATATAGTGACATATTCAAAACCTGTGGGCATGCCCCTTCCCATTTCATGCCAATATGTCCATGTCATTTAATCAACTGTTGACTACAATGTATTACAGTGACAACGTGTTACAACGACTACAGTGTACTAGTGCCAGGAATCTTTTGCAACTAATAGCACCCATTTTTGCTCACCCTTCACAATGCCAATATGTTGAAATTCATGGCTCATTGAGCAAACACACAACACTGACCACATATCATCAGGCCATGTGTGTATCCTTTTAACACCTTGGCACAAAAAACATTGATGCAATGGCTAACATGAATGAATAACATGAATATTCACACCAAACATAGTACTTGGCTAACATGCAGCCTGACCATCATTACAGGGTTGCCTTTCAAAACTTTCATTGCATCCAGCATACACAAAACACAAGCTTAGCTCCTCACAGTCGGGTAACTCAGGGATGATGCCAAATAATCATGTGAAGCCACAAACCCAGATTGCGCAAGCACCTTAACCGACAAAAATAGCGCGCTTCCGACAAACATTATACATAGACTTTCTTCAACTTAAAGTACACAATTATTCAAAGAATGAAAAAGGTGTAAATGCTAGATCAGTGAGTATTTTTAACATCAAACACACATTTTCGGTACTCCAAAACACTCAAACCTTACACGGACCTAACGCGTCCCTGTTCCCCCGACACCAGCACCGCTCGCGCGCGATTACTGTATCATTGCCAGATTATGGCTAAAACTCAAACATTTGGTCTACAAATCTAGGATAGTTGTACAAGTCTCACATACAAATTCAACACAGCATTTCTTGAATTCACTATTGTAAAGTGGCATCATTTCTTTAACAAATAACCTATTTCTTATATCATATGCCTAATAGCTTAAGGTTTTTTATCAGAGTGCTGGTAAGATAAAATATTTAATAATGGAGCAGTACGTCTTTAGGCATAGAAATCGAAAACTGACGTGGAAAAATATCCGTCAGACTTACAAGCTTTACGATTTCAACGAGAAAAAACTATCAAAAACCAGAGCAGCATGAACTTCAAAGATTACTAGTTTAAATATTGTTCCTTGGTATTTGGCGAATGTCAACAAATATAACATGGCGACCCCCAGTTGAAACCATGCGCCAGATCATGGCGGGACATAATGTGTATGTTGGTGCCGAGACTGGAATACTTAAGGGTGAGGCCTTTGCAGTCAGGTACCTACTAGACACTATTGTATCAATGGTATTGCGGTCTGCATGGCTATGCTACTTCATGCGACTTGGGACGTGTTTCTAGGGAGAGACGAATCTGGTAGGGACTTTGCAGCCGGGTGCTGTCTGGATGCTATTAGAGTAATGATATGGAATTCGTCATTAGCATACTACTTAAAGTCATCTGGAGATTTTTGTTGAACAACAGCCAAGTGTGATTTTGCAGGGCCCTAAGCATTACATCTGAGCTGGCTGTCTGGAGTGTATGTTGGACCTTCATGTATCACAGACATTAAGAGATTATGCACTATATCAGAATGCTGTTTCTGACACTTAGCTAATTCCACAGGTATCCAGATAACAGAAAGTGAAGTGCAAACCAAAAATTTCCATAACTTGACTGCCCTGGAACAGCAAAATGAGATATGCAGCATGTGCTGGGGAGATGATGATCAGCACCAGTTGCTGTTGGGTTTGCGGTCACAACAAGTCAAAGTGTATGACACTGAGCAGTCAGCCTTCACAATGTGCCGCCAGCTAAGCTCCGGGTCCGGCCCTGTCATCGGACTTGCCAAACATCAGGGGTAAGATTCTTGAGTAGAGAAGTGAAGAATGAAGAATGAAAATCAACTTAAGTTCGTCAAAATTTTGATGGCTCATTTGATTACAACACCTGTCATTGATTCACACAGAATCATCTGCCAGTAATTGGGTGGGCTCTGGTCACTTTAAGCCCCCTCTGTTTGCCCTGATTTGGATGGCCTAATGGCCTTTGGCTGATCATAGCAGTCTGGCCAATGGTCTGGTGACATCAGTTTAGGATGTGCTCAGTACTATAGGTCATTAAATGCCATTTTATGGCTTAGGCTTTTAGCATGCTGTGCCACAGAATTCAGTGCTTGATGAGAACTTGTGTGGTTAGATGATGCAGGTCATGGCCCAGGCAGCCGTGTCTTGTTTAAGTAGTGTCTGATGGCTGAAATCAATACAATGAAATGGTTCAAACTAGACCTTCAAATACTGCCTTGCCATATGGTGATTTAGCCATGCTTTCTTTCACCCCAGCCCTCTTGAGATGTTCTTTTATTCAGCTTATTTTGCTATTCAAATACATATTTCTAGCAAGCATTCAGTGCGCTGGATTTATCAAACAAGACTTCAATTTACTCCAGTGGCATGGATGAGTGGCTTTGGGTTTAGAGTACCTTCTGAGCATGGCATGTTGTATATACCTGAACCCATAACCTAAATTGGGCCATCTAGTTCCACAGATTATTGCCTCTTCCATTTCACCTGTGGGGTTGAACCTCATCAGCAAGTTGCCAACTGACCTTTCCATTTCAGCCCAGTCCAAGCAATGTGCTCACTCTGTGACTCATTACTGATCCCCCAGACCACAGATGGCATTTAAATGTAACATAAATTTAAATATTTAACATAATTTAATGCCACATGATAAACCTTTCAATTTGATGAAATGTTCCAATGGTTATGACCACTGAGCAACTTCCTTAGAGGTTCCCACCTGGCAGGATAATCTGCAATAGGGTGATATCCAGCCACTACTCACTTGCAGGGCAGTAGGCTCAGTCATGTTCTGACAGCTTCTGACCATTTACCTCTCATAAGGCAGTGATGCAAGTAATGACGTGAGATATTCCGGCTGTTTTCTGTGTGTTCAGGGCAGCAGAAATTGTGAATGACTGGCCTTGCCACCTGTGATTATGTTAGCTGACTGACGATTTCCAGTCAGTGTGACAGTCAGCCCCGCCTCCCAGAGCGGTGATCACCGCTGTGGAGTCGGGTGCGGTGACGCTGTGGCGGTTCGAGGAGTCAGAGCGGGTTACCATCGACGCCCTGGCCATCGGGGAGAGCCTCTGCTGCATGCGCCAGAACCCGGGCCAATCCAACGTGCTGGCCACCGGCGGCAAGGAGAACGACCTCCAGCTGTGGGACCTCGGCCGGCCAGAGCAGCCGGTCTTCAGGGCCAAAAACGTCAGTCCAATAGGTGAAGCGGTTTGTTCGTAATTTATTGGTGCTGTTTGCTGTCTGGCTTTTCAGTCATTTGGTGGAGAAATGTAGCGCATAGCGGTATAAGAATGGCGTGATTTCCGCGTATTTGTTTCGTTCAAACATCGCCACAAGTTCTTGCTTAAGTTGCCGTGGCCTCCGATTGTAATAACATAAAACTTCTTGTAGAAGACACATTAAGCATCATGTGAATGTGCTCTGCTTTCAGTGAGCTGTTAAGTCCAGCACCAGAGGTACATTGTTAGTGATGGTCCATGCATAAGTTGTATTTGCGGACTGCCCAAAGATAAAGTGCGGGATCCATGGCCAAGAGATCTTGGGTTTGAGACTCACCACTGATATAATTGACGCAGGTCGTGGGAGGAGGACATGCCGCGTCATCAGATTATGCTTCATTTCATATGGAGAAGACCCGTCTTTGACTGTATCCGTAACTGGCCAGGTCCGTCCAGATATGCTTGACCTCCGGGTACCCGTCTGGGTGTCGGACATCGCGTTCATGGAGGACTCAAGGCGGGTCGCCACCTGCCACCGCCATTCCGCTGTGAGTTATGGGCGTCTATTGGCCGGTCCGCCCTGGGGCGCTGACCCACTGGCCCCGGGCATAGGGGGGTGACATAATCGCGTGTGTCGTGCCTTTTCAGTTTCCACGCACAGTCGCTGGCGGTGTTGGGGGTGTTAAACTTTGAGTGTCCCCGTCCTCGGCACCCGTCAGCATTTGAAACATGGGTTCGCCGATTTGGCATATTTTAGTGTCCACTCTCCGATCACTCGTTCACCACTGGCCGTGACCCGTTGAGAAGCAGAGGTGCGCGGCGTCCGGCATGGCGGCCGCCGCGTGATGGCCGCCACCCGGGGCCGACAGGTGCGGCTGTACGACACGGCCAGCGGCCAGCGGCGGCCCGTGCTCTCGATGACAGTCGGTGACGACGAGCCGCTCACCTGCATGGCGCTGACGCACCGGCAGCACCAGGTCAGCCGCCCACCACCCGCCCTCTGCTCACAGCCGAGTCAGGGGAGCTCGCGTGAGGGGTGTGGACCAAGAGAGGAGGGAATGCTTTCTGTGTTTGTATTATTTTGCACTGGTGCTGACTTCTGTGGACGCACTGCCTTTGTTCTGGGCATGATTTGAGTATAGTTTCTTTTTTCAAGGAACTGAAAGAAATCCATTCATTCACGATTTGCTCGTCTCAATGAGATATGTGTTTCCGAAGTGAGGTTTTCTCTTCGTTGCGCAGGTTTTAATTCAGCGTAGTTTTTCATTAATTTACCTTTTCTGTTCAGTCCTGTTTTTTTTTTAGTGGATTTCTGTTCGTATGTCAGTGCATTTTGATGGACGGCAAAAACATTTCAATTTCTTTCCAGAATATGAAAATGGCTTCTCTTCAGTGCAGGCTTCAAGTCAGCGTAGTTTTTCATTAATTGTCATTTTCTGTTCAGCGCTGTATTTCTATTGAGTAGATTTCTAGTCAGTATCGTCTGTTTGCTAGTATTCAGCGGCCAGCGCGCTGACTGTCCATGACGTCCCTTCCATTTCACCGTACTTCTGCGAGGCGGGGTGCCTGCCGCCCTTGACCTCCGCTCTTATGCCCCACGCCCGACCCGCTAGTTTCATAAAGAACACTGGGACATGTGCCGTTTATTTACGAGCGAGACTGAAGGCCTGGTGAGTCTTAACGTGAGCTAACCGAGAATGTTGTGGCTCCAGCGGTGCCACTCGGCCCGGGCAGCCAGCTTTTGATGGGGTGATATTTTCGTAACCACCCGCCGGATGGTCATGAAGCTTTCAGCAACAAGCAACAGTAACAATTTCAGCAACAATTCTTTGAAAGTTGGGCTGTAAAAGTCCCCAGGCATTTAAATGCAAGATGTGGGATACAGAAATTGCATCTCTGCAATGATGCAATATTATTGCCATTCTTCCGCTCCATTTGTTTAAAAAGGTTAGAAATAGTTTAGTAGTGTATTTATTATAGACATATTTTAGTTCAGTCAATAGTTCAGAAATCGCGCCAAGGTTGGAAAACGCAGGTCTGAGACAGATTCAGATCTAGGCGACTGGTGTCGTAGCGACATGAGTTTTTCTTATGCTAGCGAAGAAGAAATAGGCAGTCCTACCGACAGAAGTGTGAGGTGCGTGCATACTGTGATGCGCAGTGTTGCCTAAAGCACGGGCCCACCGATAAGTTAGTTTTTTTAGTGTTGATTTCAGTTCTTAGATACAAGAGCATGTGTGGTCTGAAAACCAGGCGCACAGAGCAGACAAATGCTCTGCCTACCAATCCTAAAGCGATATGGGTACTGTCCAGCTAATGCGCGCCACTAATGTGCATGTAGAGGCAGACAGTGCCATCTTTTCTGAAAGCGGCCCCAAATACAACAGGACTTGAACTTGGCCCGGGGCGGATCGACCGATTCACACAAAGTAGATGCTTACCAAGTGTATTGTGACCAATATTCACTCCAAGCATGAACACTTTCTCGCTACTTTCATCACAGTCACCATTAATGTTAAGCTCGTCAAATTCATCTGCCACATTTGTATTCAAATTCCCGGACCTCAGCAGGCTCCAAGCCGGCCAGTATTTTAGCAGTGACATCCGTACACCGGCGCCTGCCATTCTCATAAGAGGAAATTGTAGCACATATATGAATCAGAGCTGTATGGGTTCGCAAAGGCGACGGGCTCCATTTGCTTATGTTCACTTATCATATGATAGCAATGACTTATGCCATCACCTCGTTCGATTCACGCAGTTGAATGCGTTTCACTGGGAATTTAAATTGTCCAAATATAAAGGTCGAAAACTGCGAAGTGTCATTGGTTGAACCTACCCATCAGTGACCTTCAGATCAAAATCGTAGACGAAATTAGTTGCAACCAGCCCGAATGCGCCATAGGTTACCGTTGTTACCACAGTGCGCTATTAAGATGGCTGAGGTGAACCGCTACAGTGTGGGTTCATGGAACCGGCCACTGGCTGGGGCGGCGCTCCTTGACCTCTGACCTTTTCGGCAGGTGCTGGTCGGCAGCGGCCGCGGCCGGCTGGAGCTGTGCGACCTGCGTATGGGCCGTTCGCTGCAGGCGTTGAAGGGGTTGGCTGGCAGCGTGCGCAGCGTCGTCTGCCACCCGCAGCTGCCGTACGCCGCCAGCGTCTCACTCGACCGCTTCCTGTTGGTACACGACCTCGACACGAGAAAGCTGCTGCACAAGGTACCCGGGGGCGGCGGCGGTACCGGGGCGCCGGCTGGGCTCGGCGATGGTCGGCGTTGGCGGGCTTTTTCAACCATGCAGGCATGCGCCGGATTGTCGAGAGGGAATGACTAGGGGAAGGGGAATGGCAAACGGCACGAGGTACCCCATTTGTACACACGAGTCCGGGTCTTGTGATGACGGCATTGAGTGTAATTGATGAGAATGGAAGTTGCGGTACGTCGTAAATGACCTGATGTCGGCGTGGATTTAAACTCGTGCCAGCATAATAATTGTCAGCAGTGCCCTGAGAATCGATGAGAGGATACGCCGCACGCGCAAATCCAAACCCGTGTCGTCATAGTCAGTGCTTGCGGTGTATTTGGCATCATGGACTGATGGACGGGATATCATCACGTGCAAGGTAACTTGGTCCAGCGACGTCTGTTTGACGGCGACGGGATGACTGTGAGCTTGGTATGCGCTTTGGAGACCAGAAATACTTGCTGGTGGGATGCATGCCTATGGAAGAGGTGACGCAAAGTGCGACAACCAAGGCACGTCTAGATTCGAACCCGATGCATGCCATGGGACGTGGCCAAACTTACGAGTACTGCTGGCGTTCAGTACAGCGGACCGCGGGCAGCTCAGCGTCGATTCGTCATCCGAGTGATAGGGCCGTGTCGTGAGCAGCCGTTTATCTTGGAACGACGGACCTGAAGCGATACGGGTGCGAGTCCCCCAGCCGTGCAGCGTTCTGGCGACTCTTGTGGCAGTACCGCCCGGTTCTGGTACTGCCGGCACTGGTTTTGCCGTGCCGGTGCTCTCTGTACCGGCGGCAACCCTCTGCTACGGATGCCGTGCGTTTTCATTGCACTATGCAACTGGCCGAGCCTGGACTGTCGATGCTCCTTTCTGAGCTTGGATCGACATCCGTAATGGACCGTCTGCTTTGTTTTACCTCGACTCATTCATTCCGGACGATTTCGTTCAGGTGGTGTCTCCGTTACGTTTATGGAACCTTTGTTCCTGTTGCTGCCACGCCGGGCAGTGTCCTTCATTTTCATAATTAATTTTGTGTGCACCAGGCAGGCGATCGATCTGTCAACGTCAGGAAACGAGCACGCCACGCTATGAAATTCGTATGTTACAGCCTCATTATGAGGCTTGCGAAATAATGTAATTTTGTACAAAGCTAGCACCTGCTCAGAACAGGGGTTTAGTCGGGTTGAGCTCTTGTCGCTCGACATATTAACGTCACTCGGTGCATTGATGCCAACAGCATCCAAGCGCACCCGTTGTGTCCAGGGCCCGTTGGTGTAGTTCGCGTTCTTGCGACCTTTCAACGTAATCACAGGTCCGTGTGAACACGAAGCGTGCTTGTGGCCAGCGCACAGTGTTGTGGTGACGCGCTGTCCTCACCGGACAGTGCTTTGGTGACACGCTATCCTCACCGGACAGGTGTACCTCAAGTCACGACTGAACTGTGTGCTGATGCGGCGCGACTTCAGCCTCGTGCCCCAAGAGGGCGACGCCGAGGCGGAGCCGGCGGCCGACGCCACCGACGTGGCCGCCGACGAGTTCGAGGACGAGGAGGATGACCTGCAGATCGTGGAGGAGTTCATTGTCGACGAGCCGCCCGAGCCGGAGGCGCCCAAGAAGAAGCGGAAGCTGCCCAAGCTAAAAGTGTCGGGCCAGGAGATGGAAGGAAGCTCGCCGCGGAAACCGAAGCTGCCCAAGCTGGTGACCCTGTCGAAGAAGAAGAAGAAGAAGACGAAACCGCGGGAAGGGTAGTGGTGTTACGCAATGCTTTTTCGTGCTGGGGGAAGGGCAGATAACTCGTGTTTATGTGTCGTATGTTTAATACAGCGGTCCTTTCCAGGTTGGTTTTATTGTACAAGTAATAACGTGTTAGCGGAAAAGCCAGGCGCCAGTCGGCGTGGCAACGCTAGAGTGCTGCTCGCGGAGGGCGCCCGGCGACCGCCGACTGGTATCTGGCCTGCTCGCGGGGGGCGCCCGGCGACCGCCGACTGGTATCTGGCCTGCTCGCGGACGGCGCCCGGCGACCGCCGACTGGTATCTGTCCTGCTCGCGGGGGGCGCCCGGCGACCGCCGACTGGTATCTGGCCTGCTCGCGGATGGCGCTCGGCGACCGCCGACTGGTATCTGGCCTGCTCGCGGAGGGCGCCCGGCGACCGCCGACTGGTATCTGGCCTGCTCGCGGAATAAACACGAATAACTGGTGAAGCGTACGGACACCGATCTACAGTCGATCCGATCTCACCCGCGCCGGGCACGCGGGCCCCACTACGCCAAACACACGTGCTGTCCGATCACACCGTTCTGCCGCGACTCGGGCCGTCGCCGCCTCCGACAGCTGGCGCGAGATCTGCTGACGTCACTGGAGCCCTGGCCGCGGGCGCGCGCCGATCTTCAGCGAGGACCCCCTGCAGTGGTGTCCCGTATCGCTGCGGTGCTTCTGACCGCCCGCTCGCGCGCCGGGCTCGCTCGAAATTCGCCGAGGGAACAAGCAAACACCGAGTGGCAAACAGATGCGCCGTTCAGTCGCACCGTCGCATTCTCTCGCGCACGGACAAGGACTTGTTAGAACAGCGAAACCGTCACAGATACAGCGCGGTCATGTTGACTACAAGAGGAAAGGAAACATTTCACTCCGAAAACGAAGAGATTGGATAGCGCTCATGGCCGCGCCCTCTCGGAGGCTCTCGCCGCAGTCTCGGCCTCGCTCGCCGGGCGCCGAGTTTGATTTCTCGCCGCGTCGACCAGCCACCACTCGCGCGCCTCCCGCTGACTGGATTGAAGGGCTCCACTTGGTCCATGTGCTCACCGACGAGACGAATGAGACTAGCCGCCGCGCCGCCGCACTCTGCGCCCACCTCACCCCGTCTGGCGCCGGGCGGCTCGCGCGCTGTGACGCGACGCCGGCTCGGCGCAGTGTGCGCACGCCGCGCGGCTGGCTGGTCCCGGCGCGCCGCGCCGCGGTCCGAGGCCCCCGCGGCAGTCGCCGCAGCTCCGGGTGGCAAACCCGGCGCGGTCCGAGGCCCGGTGCTGCTGCGCGACGCCTCTGCGCCGCGGCTCAGCGCGTCACAGTGAGCCGCCGTCCGCCAGCGCGCCACACGCGGTGGAATGCATTCTCCGCCGGCGCGCCACGCCGCACGGCAAGATGGCGGTGCTCATAACACGAGCAGCGTGGCCATGATGAACGCGCTCAGCAGTTCGAGCAGCAGCGGCTGGGAGACGCCGTTGGAGGGGCTGTCAGTGCTGAGGTGCAGCGTCTTCTGGCGCAGGCTGGGGCTGAAGTCGCCGAAGCCGGCCTGGTTCCGCGCCGCCACCCGGATCACGTACATCGTGTCTGGCTGCAGATTGTTGATGACGTATGGCCCGCCTGCCGGGCGGGAGGGGGAGGGGGAGGCGTCAGTGGTGGTGGAGGGGACGAGGGAGCGGCGGTAAGACGGGGGTGGCGAATTCACCAGCAGCATGAGACTCTGCTTTTAGAACCTGTCATTTCACTGCCGAGAGATGTTTCACAATCGATGCCGCATTGCGACATGCCCCTGTTTTTAAAGCATTTGCTTATGAACAAGATGAGCGTCAGCAATCCCCCCCCCCCCCCTCCCCGAGTTGTGTCGTCAAACGGCGGCGTTTTATTCTAGTCGTGGCGTAAGTGCGCCCTTAGCCCCTGCAAATAGCACAACCAGTTTGCGTGAATTACCTCCAGCGTGTACCGACAGCACAATCACAAGTTCGTACTTGTGACGCACACCACATCGATCACATAAACACATATTTCCGCGGCTGTTGTGCTGTTCCCATCGCGACTCATTAGCTTCCAACAATTATGGATTTCCCCGCACCCGCGAGGTACTTTCACGGGCACGCCAGGGACGCAGGAATCAGACGGCCCTGGACGGCTTCCTCTGTCCAAAACACTAGAAAGCATGTGGTTTTCCCAGCGCGCATGCTGAGTGCGTCCTTGTCGTGCTGAGCGGGCGTACGGGCGCCTTACCTGACTTGAACTGGACGGCGTGCGCGGCCCGCCACTGCGAGTCCACCCGCTTGTACTGGGCTCTGTAGCCGTCCGCCGACATCGCCGGCGGCGGTATAGAGATAGCCAGCGTCAGCTGGGTACTGCCCGTGTCGGTCACACGCACCTGCCGGCCCGGGTCAACGGTCAAAATCACGGTCACCGTCACCGTCAACGTCAACGTCAATGCCACCGTCACTATCACTGTCACCGTCAACGTCAACGTCACTGTCACTATCACTGTCACCGTCAATGTCAACGTCACTGTCACTGTCACTGTCACTGTCACTGTCACTGTCACCGTCACCGTCAACGTCACCGTCACCGTCACCGTCGCGTCACAGTCAACGTCAACGTCAACGTCACTGTCACCGTCACCGTCTACGTCACCATCACCATCACCGTCACCGTCACTGTCGCGTCACCGTCACCGTTACAGTCGCAGTCACGGTCGCGGCCACGGTCACGGTCATGGTCCCAGTGCCAGTGACGGTCCGGGCCTATGGCCAAGATCCATGCGTGGGTCTCAGTCACGGTTACTCGACTGGCGGTCGAAGTGATGTAAAAATCACTGGTACAGTTTGCGCCGAAGGCACCTCAACTATTGCGGGGCAAAGACCGCAACCTGGTGTTGTGTTTCTTTGTGCTTTGCTTTCCTCACAGTGGATTTGATGACGGTGAGAAACAACAGGCTGGACTGTAGGCAACATTCCATATAAGACAATGACCAATGCAATGGGTTTATTTCAGTCCATACGACATACGTGCGCCCGCTTGCCCGTTACCTGCGGGATGTCGGGCTTCTCGCCTTCCTTCAGCACTACGGTCTGGTGTATGGAGCCGATCTGGTTCTGGGCCTTACACTTGTACTCGCCGAATGTACTGTTGTTCAGAGATCGGATCTGTGGATGGTGAGAGTAACGGTATGAGCGTGATATGTTGCCATCGGGACACCTGGGACTCAAATATGATGCGCCTGGTGTAGTACGAAGGTCAACATATGGAATAGCGCGGGAACTTAGGTGAAACAACGCGATTGATACCCCGTGTACTAAGCACGGCGTATCAATGGTTACAGAAGCCGTTGAGATCAACGGCTGCTTACAGAAGCCTTTAAGACATCAAACCACGATGTTGCTACCTGACAAATATTAGCAAAGGACCGGCTGGGCTTTGCGGTTGCTGTCTAAAAACTCCTGGCTGCATGTCATGCCATGTTATTGAACCCATGCTCCTCATATTACACCCTATGATTTATGATATCCTATCAAAAAAGAAATACAGATTAAGCCATGAAAAGCATGACAAAAAGTAGTCACGTCTTGGCACGTACTTCAATTTACCAGTCAGATCCAACCAAACTCCCACAGGCACGAAAGCCCCGCCACGAGCTGTAGTGTCGACACCCGGCGCCATCCTCTGCTTGTCACGTGAGAGACGAGTAAAACACAGACCCCATCTCTATCAAGATCTAATCTCCAATCTATCGCGCGCTCCTTCCCCCTGAGGCTAACGCCGCCGGCGTTCGAAAGCTGCTGGCCTCGATGCCGCGCCGCCTAGATAAAACTGTTCGTCTCAGCGAAACTCCAGCCGGAACTCGGCCTGAGCCGGCTTCCGAAGACGGCGCCGCGTCGCAACAACACTCTGCGGTCGATGTCAGGCGACGCCTCTTACAACGGGGGAACACTGTGGGTGGCTGCCATTGGCGCCTCTCACAACGAGGGAACACTGTAGGCGGTGAACACCGCCACCTCTCACAACGGGGAACACTGGATGGCGAACACGGGCGCCTCTCACAGCGGAGGAACGCTATGGACAGCGCACGCCAGCGCCTTTCACAGCGGAGGAACGCTATGGACAGCGGACGTCAGCGATGTTCGGCCTGGGCATGGAAAGATTATGATGCAGCGGCTGTGGACGCCAGCGATGTTCGGCCTGGGCATGGGGACAGTACGTTGTGGCGGCTGTGGACGCCAGCGATGTTCGGCCTGGGCATGCGGATAATACGTTGTGGCTGCTGTGGACGGCAGCGATGTTCGGCCTGGGCATGGAAAGAGTATGATGCAGCGGCTGTGGACGCCAGCGATGCTCGGCCTGGGCATGGGGACAGTACGTTGTGGCGGCTGTGGACGCCAGTGATGTTCGGCCTGGGCATGGGGATAATACGTTGTGGCTGCTGTGGACGCCAGCGATGTTCGGCCTGGGCATGGGGACAATACGTTGTGGCGGCTGTGGACGCCAGTGATGTTCGGTCTGGGCATGGGGAGAGTATGGTGGGGCAGATGTGGTAGTATTCGCATAAACCTTTCCCGAAATTTCCGTAATTGTAACCACAGGAGCCACAAGACAGACCCTAAATTTACAGCATGTGTCGACCTGGGAATTATTCTGGCCTCAGGGCTTGGAAAGTGCTGCCTTTGAAATACCTTCCATTGTTTGACAGCTGTTCAATTATTGTGACAACCGATGAACCTTTATATAAGGGCAAAGCGCAGGACGAATTATACTGGGCGTTTTATAGACGCTGAATCCTTCAAAAGGGGGAGTCTAAGCATACATTTAAAGAACTTGTGCTGGGGGAGGAAAGCCCAGCGACTGGGAAAGGGAAGGAGATGGACGGATTTGTCCGCTACTAATCCATTTAATAGCTTTGAGATTAGTAAATGATCCTGGATAATTCAATGGGTAATTCCTAGCTGCTAACTGTTATGCTGAATAATAACTACCTCTACTTTACCCTGGTGCACGACTTTATCTTCTCGACCCATCCTTACCATTCAGGAAGCAGATTACGTGCCCAATTTCCTAGAACCACTCATGGGTCTCAGCATCATGTCCAATGGGGAAACCAGATTCTCCAAGTCGAAAAATACTAAGTATCGTTGGGGAGACACCTGCCTCCAAAGTGGACATGCAGAAACATGTCTTGGGCTCCGGCTGGGTGGAATTTCACCATAAAATTAATGACATAATAGTCACAGAATAAATGACCTTGAGATATTTCGCGCCCGCCCTCCTCCCATCGCCGTCGGCGGCCACCGCTCTGTCTTGAAGGCTGCCGGCCGACGGCGGTCGCTACCCTGTCTTGGCTGCTGCCGGCCGACGACGGCCGCTTCCCTGTCTTGGCTGCTGCCGGCCGACGGCGGTCGCTACCCTGTCTTGGCTGCTGCCGGCCGACGACGGCCGCTTCCCTGCCTTCGCTGCTGCCGGCCGACGGCGGTCGCTACCCTGTCTTGGCTGCTGCCGGCCGACGGCGGTCGCTACCCTGGCTTGACTTCGACGGCGGTGGCCACCCTGGCTTGGCTGCTGCCGGTCGACGGCGGTCGCTACCCTGGTTTGGCTGCTGTCGGCCGACGGCGGTCGCTACCCTGGTTTGGCTGCTGTCGGTCGAAGGCGGCCGCCACCCTGGCTTGACCTCGACGGCGGTCGCTACCCTGTCTTGGCTGCTGTCGGCCGAAGGCGGTCGCTACCCTGGCTTGACTTCGATGGCGGTGGCCACCCTGTCTTGGCCGCTGCCGGTCGACGACGGTGGTCATCCGCCTGACTGGCTACACGCAGATCAACTGACTGTTTTATCCCATATTGTAGATCGACACCATTACACACGTGCGTGATGTATGTTATGTTTTATATAGCCCTTTCATTCTAAGTGTTTAATTAAATAATCAATGTCATTCATTGAGCTTTTGCCTCTTGTGATGCCGATTGCACCAACTCCCCTTGTGTCGACCACGTGGTTCCCAGCTGTTTCAAGTTCACTATTCGGTGCGCTTTATCATTGGGGTATATATCACCCCACTTATTTATATTCATGCCGGTTCCCACAGACGTGGCCGGGCGGTCCAGACACCCCACTTCAGCACGTGACAGGCATCTGGGGCTGAGTCCCAAGGCGACTGGCTGACCCAGCAAATGGCAGTTAGCGGGAGGCGAGAGGGCTGCCCGATGCTATGCACAACACTGCGTTGAAGCAGTGAATATCATGTGAAAAGTTCGTCATACAGGTGCAGGCAAAACTAAGTGTCAAATTGGGCAAAATGGCAGCATCATGCAGTTATCTTTGTAAGCCGTTCGGACAAAATAAGAAAGTGAGAACACAAAATTAGAGATGAAACAAGGGAATACAATGGAAAGGAAAAAGATGTAGTCTCGCAGGCACTGACATGTGTCTATATTGGGGCTAAACGCAAGCACTACTCAAAGACAATAATGGAAGGGCAACGAACTTCTGAAAAAGCCCTGATGGTGTGTGACCAACAAACCTCCTAGAAAGCGCTGATGATGCGTGACCAACAAACCTCCTAGAAAGCGCTGATGAGGTGTGACCAACAAGCCTCCTAGAAAGCGCTGATGATGTGCGACCAACAAACCTCCTAGAAAGCGCTGATGATGTGCGACCAACAAACTTCGCCGTTTGCGTCAGGCTGCTTGTTGACGCGGGATGCAGATTTGAGACACTCGGCCGAGCACATTGCGCGCGCTTCGTGGCACATGTAGCCCAATGTGCTGCACTGTTTTGCCCTGCTCTAAATGTCCACGTGATAAAATCCCGCCGTACATTCATGGCTCTCTGATGACCGTTATTAACCGCCGCGGCTGCCGATACATACTCGGACGTACTGGCACTATCCTGAAGACTTACTCTGGATGAATCGTGTGCTTGAAATGGCTGAGAACCACATGAACGACGCATGAAGAGCTAGTGCAGTTATTCTGTCCTGCGAGACAACACAGTGAACAACTGACGCTGATCGAGCATAAAGCGGGTACATTACATAATCGATCCTCAGTTTAGTGAGGCTTGGCTTGAAACGTTCAGCATTCTCCTGGAGTTTCATAAAATGCATAACAAGCATATGCATGATTATGGTCATGAAACGCAGGGCATTATATGAAACAGCTGACCTTTGTCTGAAAAGCCGGACTTAACCAAACGCCTACGCCACATCCGTCTTGAACATTCGTTATATTCGTCAGGCAAATAACGCAATAACGGAGTATGCCAAAAACGCCGGCGATCTCGCGGCCATTGCAAGTAACGCTCAAAAATTTCTGGCAAGTAGCGCAATAATGGTAATTTTACGAAGCGAACATGATACACCGACATTATATGAAAATGCCTACCCTTGTCTTTCGAAATAGCAGGCTACGCCAAACGCCTGCGTCATATCCATCTTGAACATCAGGAACCTATCCTGAAAGCCCCGAAAGTGGGCAGGCAGAAGAACCAGAGCTATAAAGAGACAGAACGTAGCTTTAGATGCTGGAGCATTGTGAAATTTGTGCCCAAACATCTCCAGTCGCCCGCTGTAAATGGTAGCAAATGGAGTTGCCATTTACAATATGAAGCAATTCTGTCTAATGGGTATTGAAGAATATGGCTGGTGGACTGGGTAAATGAGCACACAGGCTTTTGGTAGCAGAGAAGTAAGCGAAACATCGATCAGTTATGTAAAGGGGTTTGATATTCTTGGCCTACCCACATTGAGAACTATGTGTGGGGATGCCCCTTCCCACTCTTCTCACACCAATGGGCAATTTGAGTTTACTTTTGACACCGAATTTATGTTTGATGACATCAGACTGTTGCCATTTTACTTCTTTCTTGCATAACAACAGACATTCGTGATCACAATAAATCGATATCCCATCGAAACCACGGCCAGGCACCGGGAGGCTGAGCGCAGTCGTTGGCTTGCGTGTGGTTCTGAGACCCAATTTACGTGCGGCGGCGGCTGGGGCCCGCGACGGCGGCTCCGACGGCGCCGCCACATTGCGGCGGTGCCGTGCGCAACGCTGCTGTCAAAGCCCGGCGCGTCGTGTTAGGCTCGCGTCAAATGACGATATCGGTGCGCAGATCGGTCTCAAATTACAACAAAAATTACCAGGTCCGCTGTCAATGGTGAGCATTTGGACAATCGTTGCAAGGCAGCTGACAAATATGTCACTCACAAACTGCAAACGGCCATAGAATGACACCTCGCCCACTCCAGTACTACTATTCAGGCCATTTGCTTAAAAGGCAGCCGATGGACTTAAAAGGCCACGTCCGCACAAACATGGAGGCGTGCGATACAGCTGCCAAATTGCTGCGCTCCATTGACCCACATACCGAATGCACAAAGCGTTCGCCTCGCCTCGCATTTGTGCTCCAGCCTTCCGCTCGCATATCGGTGCTCAAGCCGGGCGGCGGCACATGTGATGGCACATGGCACATGGTCACGGGACATCCGATACGGCCAATGGATGCGGTCATCGCAGGCAGTCCCTCTGTCGGCTCACCTTGAGCACGCTCTTGCTGTCGGTGTTGACCTGCTGGTAGTCGGGCTTGTCCAGCAGCATCTGGTCGTCCTTGTACCAGAAGAACTTGGGCGGCGGCTCAGGCCTCGGCCTGGCAGGTCAGGTTGGCCCGGCCTAGCAGGTAGCCGTACACCTCACTCTGCGTCGGCCCCGACCACTCCGGCTTGTCTGCGGGCGGAGGCACCATTGTCGGGCTCGTGCACATCAGGGTAGCACAGTCTGTCGGTTTTAAGCACCGAAAGAAAGTATAGAGCTCATCGCGTTTTTCCAGTTTTATGCATTCTTTTATCATAGCATTTGTGTTATGATTGCCAATAGCATCCCATAGAGTGTAGGCCGGGTTTTATGCACGTCGCAGACTGTGCTGGACTGAATTTTGAAGTGGCTTAGCGCCCAACAAACTGGCCAGCCATGCAGCTGCCAGGCTGTGTTTCTGCTGACAGGGAGACCTCCCCGGCGCGGCCGTGCTGCGCTCCGCCGAGAGGACACGGCCGCTCGCCGCAGGAGCGTCTGCAGCGGACAAGCGAATCTCCCGATCCGGCGGCGCCCCAGCGGCGGCCGTCTCCGGTCCGGAAGTCCCGCCCTCGCTCGGATGGCGGCGTGCTGCCACTCGGGTGCCGCGGCGGGGGACGCAGCTCACTGGCGCCCCGGCCCGGTCCCGGGTCAGGCCCGCCCGTCGCCCGGCCAGCCAGGGCGGCGGCGCGCTGCCGCCCTGGTGTCGCGGCGGGGGACGTAGCTCACTGGCGCCCCGACCCGGTCCCGGGTCAGGTCCGCCTCGCCGCCCGGCCAGCCAGGGCGGTGGCAAACCGGACGCAGGCGCCAGGCGGGTATAATGCCATTTTTCTATTTCTTTAGTTTTTATTTAATTGAAGCGCTTCCCAAGAACAGATGATACGATGCGATGAAGAACTGCAATGAGATGTGATAATATGAGATGATATGAAGTTATTTGAGATGATCTGAGATGTTATGAGGTATTACGAGATGATATGAGATGAGATGAGATTTAATGAGAAAATTTGATTGAGCCCAGCACAGTCCCTATTCGTATGAATTTATCTGTCTACATTTCGGAGTGAGCACCACAGGGCGCGTTAATTTTGCGGAATGCATACATTTTCTATCTATTGCAAGTGCGCAGGTCTTTCAGAGCCTGCGCCGGACTCGAGCTCTACGCTGCCTGTTCGTGGACACACAAATGAGTGCACATCATTGGCTCAACTGTCCAGCCTTATATATGTGACGAGGTCTGCATGACGTCTTGCGCCTTACAGGTCATACTGATACAGAAGCTCAGGACCAGCCTGAGCTGTTCATCTAAGCCTGTTTACCATTCATCTCCCATTTTCCTAAGGCCCAGACAGCACGTCTCGCTCGGAGGAGGATAGGGAAGGGGGAGAGGGGAGATCTGGGTGACGTCATGGGACAGACGTCACCATCGACCGTCCGACGGCCGGGCGGCGCGCGGCCCGGCTTTCCCCGGCGCCCACCCAATCTCAGCGCAGATGTCATAAGGCCGCCATCGACTCGGGCGCCATCGCACCGCTATCGGGGCGGCGGCGTGTCACCGCCGCATGGAAGGGCGATGGGACGCGCCGGCTGGCGGCCGACGTCGATGTCTGCATCATCGGGCAGAGGTCGGGCGATGGGTGCGCCGGGGTGCGGCGTACTGCTACCGGCAAGCGGCAGGCGTCGGCGTTTGAGTCGTTAAGGGGGGAGAGAGCACAGTGGAAACGCGTCTGACATGTACGTGTGCTGATCGGACTTCTTCCGCCCACATCCCATGCCTCTCAGCTCGAACGCCACGCTTTTCCAAACCTTTCCTGATGCGATTCCTGTGGATGGCGCCGGCGGCATTTCTCTATCACGCACCGGTCGAGGGCGTCACCAATTCATGAGCACGCAGGCGCCGCCCGGGCGCCGTTCGTTGCAGCGAGTATCGCTGTCGGCAGCGGCCTACCGACGGCCAAACGGCGCCCGCTGCCACGGCCGCCCGCTCGGAGCACGGATAGCTGCCGACCGCTTGCCGAGCGCGGTGGAACGGACCCCAGTCCGGAACGGGGCCCACCCGGTCCGACCACGGACGGCAAAATGGACTGAACGGTCGCTCGGTGGTCCGGCCGCTGCGATGGAGGAGCTTGGATGGGGGAATTTTCTGCTGTTGGCTTGGATTTACGACTTTAGAGCACGTGGACAAACGAGAGGCATTCATCGGCCAAAAAACACACAGCTAGTTCTGTTTGTTGAACATTACCAACAAGAACAATATCCCGCTGCGTGATTTTTCATGTTGCTGTACGACCTGTTGGTCTGGGCCTTGCGTTTAACACAACCACACAGCTTTCTCCTCCGATAGTTCCGGACTTCCGAAAAAAGGCCTAACTGAAGTCGAAATAACAAAAAAAAAAACTTTCCTTGACGACTTGTGAAGCAATTGTTGAGATTCGAGGGGTATACGCGATGCCAGGCCTGCATTATCTAGGGTGCGATGTGGTTTCAGAACTGGACACTCGGGATGAGAGATCCCGTGTCAACTATATCAGTGATTTCAGGGATGTAATTTAGACGCTGTTCAGCCCCAGAAAGTTTTATTCATTCATGCATTCAACTAGGAAAATTGTTTATTTGGTTATGTGGGAAGGCTAGTGGAATGGAAGTCACTATCAACCATGGGCACACACACACACACACACACACACACACACACACACACACACACACACGCACGCACGCACGCACGCACCACGCACGCACACACACACACGCACGCACACACGCACGCACACACGCACGCACACACACACGCACGCACACACGCACGCACGCACGCACGCACGCACACACACACACCACACACACACACACACCACACACATACTGACAGGCGTACACACTGAACGCGAATCCATACATCAAGAATGTATACTTGCGAGTCGTTTGCCCGTGTTCGTATGCCATCGGTGAAAGATGCGTCTGCAGTGTTTGCTAGAGCGCCTGTTGTGTGCTCAGTGTGCATCAGGACCGTTGCAATCTGAATATGTTCAGTATAGTTGTGGAAAGCTCACTATAAGTTCAATATCATAGCTTGTCGAAATTAGAAAATGTGGTTGATTTAGTGACGCTGCATTTGTTCGGGGCTCCTAAAGGAAAGGTTCCACATTTGAAGACGATGAAGCAAGCATCATATATGATGAAATAAACTCACCTACGACTATTGGTACACAATTAAGTGAAAAATACTGCCCTAGAGAGCACAATTTCTCTGTTTAGTAAATACACCCCTCAATGCGTTATTATTTGATTGCTTGACGGTACGTTACAAAACATTGATTGAAAGCCAACCGACGGCCGTTATATCAGGGCATCATGTTCTCCAACGCCGGATATCAACGACCAGACAATTATATTTGTCTTGGCCTTGGTCACCACATGACGAATGAAATGGAAAACAGATTGAAGGACGTTATTATGCGGTCACAGATGCCTGGATCACCTTGAAATAGTGCGCATAAAATGATTTGCACATCTTCGCAGTCATGCAACTCAGATACTAGACGGGTTCAGGTCTTTTAGGGCATAGCTATGAATTGCACTGAATGGTCTTCAAGATAGCTTTTTTGGTTCAAAACCCCATACAAATGTGGAAGACTCCCCTTCATGTATAAACATATGGATGACTACAAACCCTCTGCTGGATAGAGTAGACATTAAATCATTTATAGCATTGATCGATTTATAATTGCAAGATGATCAAATTTCACGACACGAAAACAGGCATATCGAAAATCTCATGTGCCGAAGAATTACGCGTATAGCCCGTCCACAGACACAACCATCATCTAATGACAAAGCGTCACAAAATGCATTTCAATAAATAAATTATTTTCTGATGTTACAGGGAAACATCTAAAAGTAGCCGTAAACATATGAGGGCACAACAAGAAATACTTGGCAGGTCAGGAAAATACGGTCCATCCAACTGACTTGCCATCGTAATAAGCCTCGGCATCAGATCCAATCACCTTTTTACTCCGTTTGTTGCTTGGCAACCAAAGTCTCATATCACAACAATGACGGTCTCAAAGATAGCGGCAAAATCGTCCGGACGTGATTGCCAGAAAGACCATCTTCCGGCGGGCGCACACGCTAATGACGGTCGATACAACCGTGCCCGGCGCGCTGTCTGAATGTGAACACCAATAAACGCCTTCACTCGCTTCGCTGGTGCGCTAATGCGCAGTCGTGCAGGTGATATACGCTATTTAACGCGTGTTCGGGGTGATGGCGGACGGGCGAATGACACGCTGGCGAGCACGCGCTATGTCAATATGCTTTTGACGGTTGGCATGCAATGAGCGGGAGCTTACATGCAGTATGCTTCGGATTAACCTCGGATTAACCGTGTTTCCACGGCTGCTCACTGTGCATTCTCCATGCAATGTGAGCCCTCCTATTTTTTGAAATCTATATTCTTTACAGTCTCAGGAACCAGATCAATGCAACAAGGAAACGACTGAATGCTATTTGAAAGCACAAGAATGACTGCGAACATGCCTGGAGGTGAATTTTCATGTACAATGACGGTCACATTAGCGGACCGCGGCCTTAGCACCAGCTGAAATTGCAACGAAGCCTCCACGTAGAACCCAATGCTGTGTCATCCAAGCTATCGCGTCTTATCACGCCTGACACGCTAGGCAGCATCTTGACCACAACGTCCTCATAGTGGGGTGGGTGGTCAGGGGTCAGGGATTGACTTTCAAGCATAGCCATAGCTCGGAAAGTTTTTAACGTATCACAGTTGTCCATAGAAGCAAAGTGCCCACTTGAATTCAGAGAATGTCATGGCCAGATGCCTTACCGTGCCACACACAATGTCATGGCCAGATGCCTTACCGTGCCGTACACAATGTCATTGCCAGATGCCTTACCGTGCCGTACACAATGTCATTGCCAGATGCCTTACCGTGCCGTACACAATGTCATTGCCAGATGCCTCACCGTGCCGTACACAATGTCATTGCCAGATGCCTCACCGTGCCGTACACAATGTCATTGCCAGATGCCTCACCGTGCCGTACCGACACAATGTCATTGCCAGATGCCTCACCGTGCCGTACACAATGTCATTGCCAGATGCCTCACCGTGCCGTACACAATGTCATTGC